ATTATTCCTTATTTCAGCATTGTTTAAAGCATTTAACAGTGGCCATGCCATTGTAGAAGCAGCTGACTGTCTTTCTCTTGTGAAAAATATACCTTTGCCTAGACCCTGAAAGTAATCTGCTAGGCAATATGGGGAAACGTTTCCCACAACACGTAGGGGACCCCATTTTTCAGTGATAGTTGCCAATTCAGAATAAGGGGATCCTGCAAATCCTGGGATCTGCCCTGGAATTATTTTATCTAGGGGGGTAGTGTTCTCCCCCTTGAACTATTTACAGAAATTCCAAGGAAAGGACATAGTGTAAGTTTTAGTATATTCAGCTTGCCTGCCTCACCAAGTGTATAATCAATGAATTATATAAAGGAATATTATGTAATCAAATAATATTAAGATGTTATAATAATGAAATAAGCAAGAGAGTTAGACACAGCAAGACAAAGAGAAAAAATAGGATGCTTACCCTTGTCATGGGCTCACTCAGGAAAGACCAGTGGAGTGGATCTTCCAAAGAGAAAGAGATCCTTTCCCACTGGTAGTCAGCTCTTAAATGGGTCTAGGAGAGGTGGAGCCAGGCTCCACCCCTTCCTGCAGCACAGGTGAATTGCTTTCACCTGTGCTCCCAGGGCTGACTCATTGCTTGCCTCAGGTGATCAATCAGAGGTTCAGGCTGTGACTCAGCAGTTCCCATACACCACCACATCTCAGAAAGGTTATGCAGATGGTGAAGTATCTGGGGATAACGTCAGGTCACTGCTTAGATGAGGTGACAGTGGGTGTGGGATAGGAGGACGCCTAGAGAATCTGTCATAGCCATCCATACACATCTGAGTTACTGTTCCTTCTTTCATCACTCATTAGCTTAGCATCACGAAGTTGGGATTTTTTTGCCTTGCAAGGTCCATGTAAAATCAGCCACCAATTGAAACTATACTTAGATTTTGGTTGTGGCACATGACTGAGGTCCATGCAGATGTCTTCACAGACACATGTGAGTAGTCACTAAGGAAGAGAAGAGCATTTTCTTCAGAAAAGGAGGAGATTATGGCCAACATACACCAACCTATGCTTTTGTATAGTAGTGTTTGTAATGTGAATTGAAACATGTATTTCCATTTTCTTTTCAAAGAAAAGCTGAAGCTCTGGGATCACTAACGTAGCTCGCATATTTCTGCTTTATTGTGTGGCCTTTTCTGCATGCTCCTGACATTATTGGAATTCTTATTTTTTCTGCTTTCTTTGTTCTTTGAAGGTTATGTTGCCATGGGAGCTGTTTTGCCCTCATTCTGGGGACAGCAACCACTCGTTCAACAGCAGTTGGCCATGGGTGCTCAGCCTCCAGTTGCTCAGGTGATGCAGGGAGGACAACCGATAGCGTGGGGCCAACCCGGCATTTTTCCTCCTGCCCAGCAGCCGTGGCCGTCTGTAGCTGGTCAGTTCCAACCGACTGCCTTCATGCCAACACAAACTGTTTTGCCTTTACAAGCAGCCATGTTTCAAGGTACCATTGCTCCTATAGCTACTGTTCCACCCACAAGCGATTCCAACAGATCGAGTCCGCAGACAGACAGGCCCAGACAGAAAATGGGAAAAGAAATGTTTAAAGATTTCCAGATGGCTCAGCCTCCACCAGTGCCATCAAGAAAACCAGATCAGCCTTCCCTCAGTTGTACCTCAGAGGCCTTCTCAAGTTACTTTAACAAAGTTGGGATGGCACAGGAAGCAGATGATTGTGATGACTTTGACATCTCTCAGTTAAATTTGACTCCTGTGACTTCCACGACACCATCAACAAACTCACGTGAGTGTTCGTATCATTTATGCCATAACTTTCCTCAAATGTGACTGCTCCTCGAAGCATTTAACTTTTCATATAGTAAATTGCAACACAGATGTGGACTGAGAACCTTCATGCATGGTCTGGCTTATTAAATGCGTTCCAGCCATAAAGAAAAGTGTTACAGAGACCATTGAAATCAACAGCCCCAGTAGCTGCAGCCTGAAATTTAATTGCTAATAAGACAGTAATATATGCTCTGTGCTAGGGACGTGCCAGCTGGTTGGAAAATGCCAGTAACATTCAACCTTACAAATGATTTTTCTGCATCCCATTCAAGGCATACTTTGCACAAAGTAGGAGATGGGTATTTATTCTAATTGCTTGATGTGTTGGACATGTGGGGAAATTCATTGAGCAGCTGTAAAATGAGCTTAGCATGGCCATAGCATGGAGATGGGGGATTTTGCAGATTGCTGAAAAGGAATTCAGGAGGCGTTTACCAGCGGCCAGTCAGAGACCTTGTGTTTTGCTTATCTGCCATAGGGCAGGCGACTCACGCATTCCTAATGTGATGTAGCAGTGTCTCCTTGGTTCCTAAAGACATGAGCCAGATGCAGCCAAACTTAATTTGGAAGCCACTGAATGAAATCAGACCTAGAGAATCGATAATGACTTCTGTGTTTAAATTTACATCTTACAGCTCTCTGCTGAAAATGGTTTTCAGGGGTAATGTGAGTTGAGGGCTCTAGAGCATGAGCAAATTTTGTGCTGCTGTGTCTCTGTGAACAAATGAAGAGATATATATTCTATTGCTGTCACCTTAATCTTTGTTTAGCTCCAACCCCTGCACCCAGACAGAGTTCTCCATCGAAATCATCAGCATCTCATACCAGCGATCCTGCTGCAGATGACCTCTTTGAAGAGGGGTTTGAAAGCCCAAGCAAAAGTGAGGAGCAGGAGGCTGTGAGTAGCAATAAGGCTTCTAAATACTGATAAGCACTTTTTGGCTAGAAAAATGCTGTTTGGTAGTGTCAGAGATCACTGTTCTAGTAGAACGGGGTGGTATTTAAGGGGGAGCTACATTTGCAGGTTTGATTTTGATAGTTGGGAACATCAGCATGGCATTTCTGTTGGTGTTTCCTAATATTGCATGCAAGGAACCAAACTCAGAGTTCATATGTGGAGCTATACATATTAACTGTATCCAGTGTACCAACATTCACATACTGATGGTAAGGGAGTCCAAGGTAAAATGACATGAGTGCTGAGGATGCAGAAAGAAATGCGAGAGGTTGTGTGTTAAAAAATGATGGTTGATGTTGTCTTCCACATTCTGGCATCCCAGTTGCTTCCCTCGTTGCATTCCTCAATGTTCTGGCCCTTGGTATTTCTTTGCCTTAGACTCAGTGAACCAAAGCAAGAAATATTATCAAAATGACGTAACTTTGAATCACAAGGTATCTTGGGCAGATAAGAGCCTAAGTGAGCCAAAGGCAAGAAGGAGTCTGTACAAAAAAGGACCCAAAGGTACAAAATGACACATATGGTCCTTTCCTGCCTGCATCAGCTATAGAAAAGCATTATGGCTTTTGAGAACGTATCAATGGTGAGGTCTCACTTTCTGGTTTTCATGAGATAGGATGTACTTGTTATGCCCACAGCATGAAAATAACCTCATGTTGACTTTTCACTTTCTATTGTTGAGAAAAAAAGGTGTTATGTTCTTGTATTCTAGCCTGATGAGTCTCAGGCCTCATCCAACAGTGATCCATTTGGTGAGCCAACTGGTGATACTATAAGTCCACAGGTCGGTAGCTAGATAGCGCAGGTTGGGGTAGGTATCTGTCCTTTTTTTCTCTACACCCTGAGGTGCTCACTTATTCTTCCACCAGTGCCTACCATTGCTTTCATGGATGCATGGTTTGCTTTTTCCTTTTCATCTCTTCCTTTTTTTCCTCTCCATTATCCACAGCATATTCCTCATGCTCGGTGGTTTGCATGGCTTTTGCCATTCACTATGTGTTGCAGCTTATGCGAATGTGTGTGTTTCAGCTGCCTGCATGCTTTAAAGAAATGTAGACTTATTTTACTTTGTGTTCGAATTCAAAGGGGGAGTAGGGAATCTGAGCCACTACCAATAATGTATTTTGCAGAACAGTTTTTTATTAAACCCATTCTGGCCTTCAGTCAGTCGTAACATATCAAATGGGATAAGGCATCTCTCCCATAGACATAACAAACATTAAATAAAATTATGTAATGATACAGGAACACCTCCACTCAAAATCAGTGTGATAATCAGCAGCACATGTATTATCTGCATGTAAAAATTATTGAAATGGGTTTGTGTATTTTTACCTCCAATTGCAAATTAAAAACATCTGAAAGTTATGATCACTGATATTAGCATTGGCTGACCGATGTTTTCAAAATTATTCATCAAACATTATTCACTGAAGCCTAGACAGAGGGGAAAGATGATCTTTTCATCTTTTGTGTTACAGAACACATTGGAAAATGTGGCTGCTGGTGGATGTTCTGTGATTTGTTTCAATACAATATATATGTTCTACCAAAGAGACAGTAAAACTGCAAAGTGTTATGAGTGCTGAGCATTGTTATTCCATCCAAATACTCTCCAGTGTTACTATTTGAAGGATATGTTTCATTATCTTCTCCCTGTCTGCCATTCGTGTTTTGTATTACCCAAATACGTGACCTGATGCTGCTTCTGTGCTTCAGCACAGAGCTCCTGGAACAAATCCATAACAGTGGTAGAACCCTTTTTATTTTTCTACAGAAATCACACTGTGTTTACCAGTGACTTATCTGCCCTGAGCCTGCATAATCGGTTTCAACTCAAACTTAATAGTTTCATTAGGAGTCACTTTGTACACTTAAATGTGGTTAAGAAAAAATGTCTTACAGTAACTTAGCTTTGATCCACTTGGGAGTAATAAGATTATCTCTTAATAATGTGTAGTGCTGAGAGGAGGCATCTCCCCCTTCTTCTGCTTCACCAACACAAAGCTCAGCTCTTGGGGGCTGAAGCAAAAGCAGTGTTAAGCCTTGTGCCTCCACGACTCTAAAAATGACAGCGTAAGGATAGAGTCAAGCTGGGCTGGCTGCTTAGCAAGAACATCCATTGGTTATTGTACACCAACAAGAGCTGCTTGTGCGGATTGATGGTGCCACATAGCACCATTTGCCTTTGTCTGACTCCACCAGCCCTGGAGCAGCCAGCTGTCCCAGCCTCAGCCCATTTCAGCACTTCTTTCTTAGATCAAGAAAGAGGATTTGGCTTTTAGCTGAATCCCACACTCTGCAGACCTACGTGCTTTTGTTTATTATGGTTCATCATCGTCAGGATAATTCAGGAATTCATCACAAGGAGAATAATGATAAAATCTCTTTCTCATTTTCTGCTGCTAAGATAATTAGCATCATTTGTGAGCTAACCACACTCATTTACCTTTCAGCAGTTCTGGAAGTAGCTGGAAGCAGTAGCTGAAGGCTGTTGCTGCATAGTGCTGTGTAAGGAAAGTCAAATGAGGAACCCCTTTTTTTGTGTATCTCTATTACACTTACTGAAATACTGGAATATTTCCAATACCTGGAAAGTAAAAGTTTGTATGTTGTCAGTCACTCCGCCTTTTTTCTATAGTTGCTGTTAGTCCTCATACAATCTGGCATAAATCAGGTATAATTATCCAAAATATATTCCAGGAATTGTTAACTAATGCTACTAATTATCATATTACAGTAACTCCTAAAAGCTGTAGGCAGGAACAGGAAGCTGAAGAACGCATCTCTCCAGTGAAGTTACACTGGCATCACTGTACCTCAGTACTGTGCCATCCAGCAGCAGGCTGTAGGAAATCCACTCGTTAAAACCAGCCCATCTAGTTGAGGCCTGCTGTCATCACAGTGATGGAAAATCTTATCTCCATGGAGAATTATGAGCTTGGGACTTATTACTGCATTGTATACTGAGCCCCTCATTTGGGGAGAAACATAACGGAGAAAAACATGTAGTACAAAAGGATCACAGTCTGCCTGTGTGCTAGATGGAGCTAGATGTTCCCTCTGTCAGAACATGGTTCTTCACACCAAGAACAGTGCAGCATACAACTCAGGTGAATGGACTCTCAGCAGCAAGACATAGTACTGTGTTCAGAAATTTCAAATATGCTTCCTGGCATTTCTGTGAAATCAGCTGTGCCCATGCAGTATCTTCACTTACTTCATCTTGATGTGAATAGAGTACTCACATGCCTAGTATTTTGTGCCCTGCTCTTTCAGTATACCTCAGCAATTTGGTTTCTTGGTTCCTTCTGATGCCCCATGTTCTCATTTAGATGCAGTTCAGCATCTTCCAATAACTATCTTTGTTTCTCTGTATTTCACCTCTTCCTTTTGTGATCTTAACACTCTCAAAATCCTCATCCTACCAGTAGGCATTCTTACAGACAGCTCTGCTACAAATGGCCATGTGTTCTTTGTAGGTAAACGTGACATTTTATGCATCAGTTACATATTTGCCCCTTTATGTTTGGAGATGAGGAGCAGCCAGGCCTGATTTTCAGTACATCAACTATTTGCAGAACTGTTCGTAGTAAGATTTGTATCTAGTTGTCTTCCTTTTGTTCAGGAGTTGTGTGGAGGATGAGTAGAGTGAACAGTAAATAGTAAGACTGCCATCTTCAGCTGATGTACACTTAATCCCTGCTGCTGTCTTTAGACTGTGTAGTGGATAACTGTGGTTAAAAGAGAGAGTGGAAAGAGTCAGTATGCCCTGAATAACGGGATCAGTTGTCAGAAATGCTGCCTTACTCCTTATGGACTATACAAACTAATTCCTGAAGGCAAATTAGCAACAGGGTGAAAGTTCTGAAAGGGAATAAAGGGATATTTGGTAATGAAATTAACCCAATGAAAGTAGCTCCAAATGCTGGAATAAATACAGCTCTATTGATATGCTTCCCAGTCCAACACTTACTCTGGCAGTCATTCACGAGAGATTCTCAGGAAACCTTCAAAACATTTGTGGCTAGAACATATCTTCTTCAAAAGCTTGTTTGGTTGTTCTTTGAAATGTGTGCAGACAGTTGTAAGCCCTAAAGTATGTCACACCCTTCACGATGCTATCAGCACTGTCAGGAGAGCAACAGTGCATTTGAATATTTGTCTATCAGCTTTTGGTGGGACTTGGGTGGCCCGCTGCCATCTCCCATCTCGGACCGTGTGCCATTCTTTGTGATGAATGTTCCTAATAATTTCAGTCAGCTCCGGAATCGACTGCTGTAAGTCTTTATCTAGGCTGTGACTATGCAGTTGGCAGAAATAACAACTCAAGGACAAAATGCTGGCTTCAGCTGAGAATTCAGACAACCTCAGGAGGTCGTACAAAGCTGCTTCTGCAACCTGCTACTGCTTTCCAGCCCCTTTCTGTTGCACTGGGAATCTGGGTGTGCTCAGACATCACAGACTGTATTTGGAGGATCTGTTGCCATCATTCATCTGTCTCAGTAGCAACCGAACAGAGAGAAATTCATGATGACTTTAAGTGACCTATTCTCGCCGTAGGCTCTAGAGCTGTTATTCTGCAAGAAGACACAGCAGCAAGCAGAATTAGGAACCTTAGAGAGAAGTTAGTAAGTTGTGCACTTGGAATGGATCACAGTTTAGGAAGCACTGCTTCATGCTGGAGAGATCCTGAAACTATCATTACAGACCCTGCTTTTTGTGCTTGTTTATTCATCATCACATTCCCAGGGAACATGAATATGATAAGAAACAGAGAAATCCAGACTGAGGAGCAAAGGCATCCTACAAACGTGCCTTCCTCTCACTCCTATGATTCTCTCACTTGCCCCCTCCTCCTGTTTATTTTAATATGACCAGTTCTTGCACTGCTTTCTCAGCTCTTCCAGTGTCTCCAAGCCCGCTTGAAGTAGCCTGGTACCTTCCATTTCTCCACTTCCTTCCTCTGAACCAGAGACAACATACTAGGTGGCCTTTGTGCTTATTGACAATACAGCAATTCAATTAGGGAACAAGTTCTCTGAGCTTTCTGTGTAATGAGGTCATTAAAAATTCCCCATCTTCTGTACAGCAACTGGTGTTCAGGACACTTGTGGTAATTTAGTGTCTTTGAGACTTCACTACAGTTTGCTTCAGATTGGCTATTGGATTCAGAAATCATTAAGGAGAATTGACAGAAAAATAGATGGAAAGTATAATTCAGTGGCTGTTGTTTTCTCAGGAAGGGAACCCCAAAATGATAGGAATGTTTCTATACTACAGTTCATTATTTTTCCATAACCAGAATTTAGCAGAGTTCATCTCTTGTTAGTAGTTCTCAACTTTTGTTTTTTTGTTTTTTTGTTTTTTTTTTTCCAGTTTGTGAATGCGTAGCAT